ATGTAATAATCTTTCCAATACTCTGAAAGTGGTGACAAATAATGGATGCTCATGGCAATTGCCAACCTAGAAAAAAAATCTCCCTAAAGTCAATTCCCTTGAGGAGGTGGGATTTATTTTCCACTTGGACTTTGAATTACAGACCTGTTTGTTTCAAAAACAGTTTAAGTCAGCATGTAGTTGTTATCAAGGAGAAAGTAATCCAGTGGGGACATATAAACTCAGGAAGTGCTTGTGCATCAGGAGGTGCTTCTGTCCTCTACAAACCATTAAAACAATAGTTATCTGGCCTCTTTGCTGCTCTTACATCGCCATTATCTGCCTCGTCTTTTTTATCCTCATTGACGATGTTTCTTAGACCAATTTTATCATAATCTGGCTCCTGAATTAGCTTTGTACTTTTTATTTTTCAAATCCTTTAATGTAGAGTTGAAACCACCTTCCAGAATAGAGAAGTTTCTGGCAAAATAATTTGGTGCTCTCTCTCCCTCTCTTATTTCTATCTACATTTATTACGGTATTAACATTGCTGATCCTAGCAATATGCAGGACACGTGTCACATGAACTTTGTAATAGATCTTGCTCACTGTGAAGTCTCTGTGGCTCGGTGGTAGAGCATCATCCTGAAGTTTGCTAGAGGGCGAACGGCGACACCATCTGAAAGCTGGCTCTTCTGAGCATTTAGGAGAACCTCAAAGCCGGATTCATCTTGGTAGAGCTCCAGGACAATAAGGATGACGTCTGCACTGTTCGAGTTGAGGCTCATGAGATCTCTGCAGCTGATTTTGTTACCATTAAGGCAAACAATTGTCGCGAACTGCGGGGCTATGGCTGACTGAACACTGACAGGTGCTGGTATGGGAGATGGCGTTGTTCCTGCTGGCACTGCTAGGAGTGAAGCTGCTGGTTTTCTCCTCTTGATAGTATTGGAGTGGGTTGTTCTGGCAGTGGGAGTACATCGCAGAAAGAAGCAACGAGTTCTTTGTTTCTGCACTTCACTGTAAGGAGTTCTTGGAAAGGATCCACCACTCTGATCACGGTCGGTTTTCTGATGCCCTAGACATTGATTCGTCGCCTGGCAGCAACTTGTTGAAGTTCATGCTGGGTCTCCAATGCTTCATGGTGTGAACGTCAATCATTGTACATGGGCAAACTCAGTTGACGCTGAGAACTGCATCAAACTGTCGGCTCCAAACATTGAAGGTAACCTTGTTTCTGACTTAAGATGGTGCATAGATACTGTCGATTGTCAAGAAGACCTTCGCATTTTTTCCCGATTTCATAAGCCATAGTGCCTTTTTTCATTTTCCCCTACCTGAAGTTACGCATGCTCTCTTTCTCTTTCTAGCTTACTTGCATTTTCCTGTGCAACGTTTTTCAATGGGTGCAATTCTGTACTGAGCGCAGAATCTGAAGTTCTTATCTTCTTGAAGTTCTTTAGCTTTGATTCCTCATGGGGACTCAGAATTTTTTTTCTTTGTTCCAATGCTCGTAATGAGACATGCTTGCAGGTGGGACTTAAATCTTGTTTTGTCAACAAATATTTGCAATAAAGCTTTATGAAAACAACTCAAACCCTGCTAAAATAGCAATTCTGTGCATATTTTGCAAAATTAAC